CCTGCATGCTTATGATGTACACCTGAGGGTAATAGCTTTCTTGTTTAGACTGTAATCCTTCCTCTGAACATCAAGATCAGACCCTTCTCACAGACTTTCGGTTTTTCCGTCAGACTCTACAATCCCAGTTGCTATAGCGTATGTCAGGACTCGCCAGAAAAGAAAAAAGTGCAGACATGTCAGGCAGGAACATGCAGGCGAACAAGCTAAAGGTGACGGTTAATCCAGGCAAAGAGGAATCCAAAAACCAATCAATCCAACAAAACTAAATTAAAAGAACAAAAAGTACAAACCAGAGGAGAATAAACAAAACCTGAGGGCAACAGAACGAATTGACAAAGACGGAAAGAGACAAGACCATTTAAACACCGACTGGGGAGACGAGACACGGGGTAAACTAATCAGGGTAGTCAGAAGGGAGGGGAAACGGGAACAAAGAACCAAAGTAAAAACCGAAGTGAAAACACAAGCGACACAAGAGGAAAGGCAATTTCAAAATAAATCAGAACGCAACTGAAAAATGTCCTGAGACCTCCACATAAACAGACACAGAGACACAGGGAAGGAAAACACACAGGAATGCATTACAAAAACAAAACAGAAACCAAAACCGAAGGACGATGACAGGCTCCTATGTCTAAATCACTACAGTTGCTGCTCTTTTCCGCTCTGGCCAACCAATTGCTCGTTAATGTAAAATCCATTATTACCAGTGAATGTCACCACAGAAAGCAGATTAAAAACCCTGGCATGTATAGATACACCTGCTCACAGGCTTTTAGATGGAAGAGATATGAATTTATACGCAACTTTACCTGCAATCTGTAACCCCGACGACCACAAAAGTTTCCTTTATCTCTGATTCACTCATCACTGTTTCATCAAAGCAGCTCCAGCCAACACAACAACCTAAAGGACTTTCTGATAGTGACACAGAGCCGCTTAGCTTTATGGAGATTTAAAGTGAGTTTCAGCTCATTGTTTAGCCAACTGTTGTTCAACACCGTCTCATAATGCCATTAAGTGTGACGTACAAATATAAATTCAGCTTAAAGCGGCCGCCGTGTTTCCAAACAGGCTGGAAGTTGCTGGCAGGATCTGTTGGACGCCACGGTTAGCCGCCTTTTGCTCGAAATACACTCCTCTGGAAGATACACGGTAAACATCCCAGAAGAACTTTGCAGAGAAGGGAGCTGTGGGAAGAGAACCAGGCACCTGAGCTGACTGGTCGGTTTAACTCTGTATGTATTGAATTGTTTTCATAGAACCTCGCACATGTTGCAGCCTTGAAAACAGTGGTCCTAGATTTCTTTGAGACTTCTCAAAAAATGTAAGTCTGCTGCTACAACTCAGCCCACATCTACAAATCAAAGAATCAGGATACAATATGAAATCACACATGGTAGGATTTGACATAACATCCATTTAAAAAAAATTTAGGAAAAAAAACAAAAACCAAGAGGATAAAAGTGTTTATGACTCTGGCAAAGCACGACAGTTCACCACCAACAGATGCCTCAAATTAGTATTTCTGAGTCCACACAGCTTGATATGAATTAAAGTCAGGTAACTGTTGCATAGTCTGAAGCCATTTCTGTACAATGTAGAACAGGGGTGCCCAATCGTGATCCTCGAGAGCCCCTGTCCAGCATGATCAAATGATCAGCTCATCATCAAGCTCTGCAGAAGCCTGATAATGATAACGATAACGATCCTGATCTTGTTGAATCAGGTGTGTTGGAAGAGGGAAACATCTAAAACATGCTGGATTGGGGCTCTCGAGGACCAGGATTGGACACCCCGATGTAGAAAAAAATGAACTCACAAAATTGGAATTGACCTCACAGGGTTCAAAATATTAATTATTATTTAACCCTATTCAGGACTTTCATGTTGCCATACGTAGAAGGTCTTTCGGCGTCCATAGGACCCCAGGAAAGAATATGTGCAAAATATTTGTTGGTATTCATTATAGACTTTTACAAATGCATGACAAATGTCCCTCTTTTTATATTTAAAAAAAAAAAAAAAATCTTAACCCCCCCCCCAAAAAAAACAAAAAAAACAAAAACAAAAACAAACAAAAACAATACCTGTCACCTAAACCAAGTGGTCTGGGGTCCAAAAGACCCCAAAAGTCCTGAGCAGGGTTAATACCAAGCACCACAATGGAAGCCTTCAGTTTTTATTTCCCTAAAATCTGGTGCAAAACTCAGAGCAGACAAATGCTTTGTCACCACTTCAGTACAATTTTCTGGGCGCTGACATTTCCAGAGGAGCTGACAGCAAACATGTAGCCGTGGCAAGGACTTGCAAGGTTGCAAAGTCACGTCATGTGTTTTTGGTGACAGGGTGCACGAAGCCCTGTCTGAGCCCGACAGTGAAAGCTCAGTAGGTCTGGGACTGCTGATGATTCAGGGAAAAATCATCATAGCTGTTTTTGAATATCTTGTCTTTTTCACTGCATCCATGTGTTGAGAAACGTGACTTGGATACCTGCCTACCTTCTCCTGCATCAGTGAGAGCGTGCGCTGCAGAGTCCACCGTCTGCATGCGTTTCAGCATGTAGATGTGTGTCCTCATGTGGGATGTGTGTGTCACAGGTGGATGCTCAGGTGTAATGTGATGACCCTGATAGCTCTTGTTGATGGCTCTCTAGTCAGAAAGTCCATGCAAAGATGTGAATAATTGATGCATCTGGGACCAAAAATAGGAGAGAGGGAGATGGAGAGAGAAAAGAAAGAGTCGGGGAGCGATTAAAGAGCGGGAGAGGTGCAGGCAGAGTGAGCGATGACATGAGAGGAAAACAATCGGAGAGGGAGAAAGACAGCAAGAGATTGGAAAAGAAAGACAGATGAAGTGAGATCCAGCGCTTTTAGCCTGAGAAAACTGCCATCTATCAAATGTTCGGCCAGTAAATGGGGACGCGGTGGGCTCTGCTTCCGCAAACTACATTATTTACAGCCACGGCTTTGCCAAAGTGGACACAGGGAAGGCTTCAAAGGACTGATCCAAGATTTTATTTTAAGCCATCAAATTATAGCCGAACTAGGCAAGGTTTTTATGGTAAAAATACACCCGTCCTGTCAGTGTAAATCTGAAAACGAGGCTGGAGCAGAAAAAGATGGGTTTCACGTGTCAGGGTTTAACTGATGCTGGGAAATGCTCTTAATGCAACAGGGAACTTAGAAATATGGAGCAAAACATCACAGGGATGAGTTAGCAATATTTAAATCTCAGCTTAACGCCAAATCCACCCACTATGAAGATGAACTGTTACGTGATAGTTGGAGGGAAAAAATTGGATCGTGCAAATGTAAACATTTGCTTTAAAGCTGC